CACAGAGACGTCTAGGGCAGTGAGGGGGTGGGGGGGGGTGGGATCCCGTTTCAGCACAAAGACCTTTGCAGCAATTTTCTTGGTGGGGCTGAGCATCCTTGTGCTGAGTAAGGGCTTGTCAAAGTCCTTACAGGGTACAGAGAGAGCCTGGGAGCACCACTGGGTCACCACTTCTGCAGCTGGGTATTGAACCGCTTTGGTGCTGACACCACTTGCCTGCAAGCTTTCTCTTTCAACACAAAATCACCAAATACCACTACGGGGTCTTTGTCATTAGCTGCCAAAGAAATATCTTCTTTTCTGAATGCTTGGATTTTGTGATTCTTTCAAAAGAGAAAGTCTGATTTTGAGGCACAAAGTGTAGTTTTCCTGCATTGTTCCTCTGGCTTCTTGAGTTTTCAGCATGTCAGTCTTAGACTTTCAAAAACATGTCTCAACAACAGAAACTACCCATTCCTTGTATCCTTGCACTGACTCCCAACCCACGCGGCATAAAACCAAGCTGCTCTTCTCTACCTCTTGGAGACGGGAATAGCCCGGTTTCCCGCTGGCTTCACTGGCCTGCCAGCCACTCTCAGCTTATTTTGTTGCAATCCAAAAAACACACCCTTCTTCAAGCATTGACACATCTCCCGAGTGTGGACACCCTTCCCGAAAACATGGGTCTATGTTAATCTTCCCTAACTCCAGCCAGGAGAGAGAGGCTCTTGCAAGCCTGCTGGTGTTTAGGCACCTTGATCTTTGCATCTCTGTCTTTCCCCTTCAAAGAACGCGAAGACCTGATTCATCTCTTACTGACACTGAGTTTCCATTGCATTATGTGGAACTAAACATCCTTTAGGATGTCTCATTTCACTCTTCTTAAGTGCCATAGACAGAGCTGAAGCACAACACAAATACCACACCATTGATACTATCAATAGACAGAAATCTTCTTTTGTGTGCTGACAAAGTTCTGCACATCCAGAATGATATATGTCCTAGTTACCAGAAAGTTTATTTATTTATTTAAAAGTGGATGAAGACTTTCCTTCTTAGATAAAGAAAAAAAAGAGAAAAATACTCTCCAGAAAGTTCTGTCTTCACCATTATTGAACCACGCCCTGTTCTCTTCATATAAGAAATATTGCCAAAGCCACAATCTTTCATCATGTGGTTCCTTTTAAATAACCTCCTAGGTACTAAAGGTCAGGATGATTTTAAAAAAATAACCTGGTAGTATGAAAGAACTTTTTTTAAATGCGAAAAGACAAACAGAGGAATCCTACGCAAACTTACCATAAATACAAGGGATGAGGATGAAGATGAGTGGAATAAACTACGTTCACACTGCATTCACCTGCTTTACTTTGTCTTTGTTCAGTTCAAAACTCGAATATAAAAATAGAATTACTCAATTCATTGCAATTCTGAGTCCATTCTTATAGCTCTTTCCCATAGATTTGCCCTTTGACTCCGCTGGGAATAGTCACTTACACAATGACTACAGCCTCAGCGTTGTACATATTTTTATCCCTCCTCACTACTGAGCTTATTGCCAATATTGGTTCTACCATCTAATTAAGGTGAAGGAAGAAAAATGTAAAACTCTTCTTTATTTTCAGTGATTTTTGTCCAATTCTTTTGCTTCTCCACATTATTTCAACAAGGAAATATTTTGGAGGGTGGGTATTTCCTATATTTGACATTTGTCCAAAATTGACTAGTTTCTGAGAGTCTGCAGAAATTGCTGGTTTCTTTCTTTATAAATATTTGCTTATTTCTGAGGCATAGCTTTGAATTACTTTCAGGCTGAAAATTTGGGCACTTTGAAGGTGATTCACAAGCAAACCAGATACCTGTGCCTTGGAGGTGGCAATGTTGACCCATACCAGGATGGGCAGGATGGGTGCCTGAGGGCGATGAAGGCTTTGGTTGAACTGAAATCATCACTGCAGCTTGTTGAAGCCCCCAGTACAAGTTGTATTCATGGTGTATGGGGTGTGTGAATGTGTGTGCATGTGTGTGTGTATGCACTCTTTGATTACAGACATGCATATTCCCAACCAGTTCTTTGAACCTTTGTTATCCATCTCTCTAAACTGTCTAAAAGCTATCTAATACTAGCTTTATTTTTCAAATGTTCAGTCTATAGCAGACTAGGAGAGCATCCATGAGTCACAGTCAGGGACCAGGAATCTATTGTTCTTGGTGATGTGCACAGCATTAAAAAAAAAAAAAAAAGATGATTAAAGACCTTAATACCTAGTTTCTTCTTTAATTTCCCTCCTACTTCAAAACACAGCATGTTTTCTTGGACCCAAGAGACTGCCTCACTGGAGAACAAGTGTGTATAAAAAAAGAACTAAAAAATGGAGTTGTAGAAGGTTTTGAAATCGTAAGGTTCTGCTTTAAATCCATGGGGTTTTTTGCTAACTGAGGGTTGTTTCCACTCCGTCAGAGAATGGCTGGACAGTCGACAAACGAAGAATCGGCCTTAAAGCCCATCTCACCGTCTCAGTCAAATGTTCCTGAAACTGCTTTTCTTTCTTCTCAGGGAAGCAGAATCCCACAGGTCAGGACAAACCCTGCTCCAGCCTGGGGGCAGTGGAGGCAGTGCACTCCCCTCTCCTCACCATTTCCACCCCAAGGCGGAGGAAGACTCACTGATAGCCAAGGGCTGGCAAATGTTTGCCTTCCCCTGGGTCTGGTCCACAGCCAGGCTGGGAGGAGGGCAGGCACTGGTACCCTGGCAGGTCAGGGTCCCCTGAGCACAGCATCCCTCTTCATGTCACCCCCAAGGCCCAGCTCTGGCTGGTTCTCCCCAGCCCTCACGCCTCCCTTCTTCCCCCCACCTCTGCCTCCCCACAGCAGCATTTCCTCTGTGCCACGGACACGGGGACTCCTCTCCTACCTGCTGCCCACTGCACACCTCCTCCTTCCTCCTGCAACCTTCCCTGAAAAATAAACTACCACCCCCAAACCCACATTTTTTCCAAGCAACCCTCCCACTTTCTGTTTGCCTCACCCTCTCCCTCATTATCCTGGGTCTTGCTTTTGTTTGTCTTGGCTATTTTGGGCTGGAGGCTCTTTGGGGAAGGGAATACAGTTTAAGTGTTGCATGCTCAGGATGTGAAGTGTTTGATTCCTTTCAGCTGAGTGAAGCTGAATTGATAAATGAGGCATAAACTGTCTGAGAAGTGTCTACCTGAGCGTGGGCACCTGGTTAGCTGAATCAGCTTTAACAGGTATTGCTCATTAAGCAGATGTAACTTTATGTTTAGGGAAAATTTCTATTTTAAAAGGCACAGGTAATAATTTAATGCTAAAGTTTCCCAGGAAATCCAATCAAGGCTATACTCTACCATAGTGAAGTACAGCATGATCATATGGTAGCTATAGCATAAACTATACTCTGTGGCTCTGAGCACCTTCTTCAGTATTGTCATTCATGAAGGACCACAAACATTTAGTATTCTTTACAATGAGAGGTATATATAATTAGTTGGAATATGGAAGTATAAATTAAAACCGGTACCATGTACTAAGAAGCAACCGTGCTTTTCTCTAGCCATTAGCTCTGTTAAAGTTATTCCATTGATAGAATTTTAATCATATTACTACTTGATACTATAACTATACTACCAACTGCTAAATTGTTGTATTAAACAGAGCTAATGTAGAAAGGATTAGGATGGAAATATTTACAAGAGGTGTGTGGGATCCTCTTTGCTTTGCTGCAGTGGATGATTACTCTCATTTTGATACCTACGAAACCCCTAACCTTCACACCTGGCACAGTCATGGAAACATCTGGACTCTATTTTGCAAATTTGAGACTCTGTTATTGTTTTTTAATTATATGTAAAAACAGTTTCTGTTATAAAAATATGTAAATTATTTCAAATAAATAAACATAAAACTAGGATTTTTTTGTGTATTCAACATCATTTCTCAGCTACATTGATGAATGAGATGCCCATATATAGCATGTGAAATATAAAAGCGAGTTTATTCCTTCTGATACAAAAAGTGGTGTGAGAATTCAGTGAATTTAAAGCAATATGCCTCATTTGTACTCTCTGTAAGAACACTTCTGATGAGCATCTATTGTATCTACCAGGAATCTCTTATTCTTTGCTGAAGATCCTCTCATCTGTAATGGAGGAATATTTGTCATACAAGGCTAAATGCTGATGTCTTTCCCTTCCTTTACACAAGGGAAAAGAATATGTTGAATACTCAAGCTCTGTTCGCATTGTTTAAACTTAAAAACTGGGTACAGTCTCTCTGCAGCCATTGAAGACTTTGGCTTGCACTGTGAATGATCACTGGGTCTTAAAATTACGTGGGCTTTTGATAACAATGCTCATACACTCCCAGTTCCCTTTTTTTGTGGCCCATCTCTTCGCAGGTGCCTCATTCTGTAGCTGAGGGCAATGGCAAATTATTTTTTTTTTATGTGACCTCTCCATGCTCCCTTCCTTTAAACATAGTGGCAGTATGTGAGGCTTTCCAAGCCCATCAGGGCCATGCATCATCTTTTCTCCATAAAATTACAAGCTGTGGTTAGGGCAAAGGTTGTGAGCTCTCCAAGAATGACTCTGGGCCAAGAGTGATGTTGGGCCAAATGCGTCTATGGAGTTATTATCGGCTGCATCACAACTGCTTGGGCCCTCTGAATTAGAACCCTTGATACTTTTTACATTCTTTTACACCTGTGAAGTTACCATGAAAATCCAGTGCTGGTCAATATTTACTTGGCTCACATATTAACTACTAGCCCAGACAAGGAGTAGCAGAGTAGCTAAGCCCAAGACAGAGGCATGAAATCCACACTGTCCGTCTTTGTTATGACTTCCTACTTCACAGCCAAAAGTAAAACACCAGTCAAAAAGTAAACTGAAAAATTATTTTATAAAATAAAGATTATGAAATTCTATATAAAAATCCAACTTCTTAAATATGGTACATTCACTTCCTCACAGAATATTTAAATATTCAGGTCACGCTATATTATCACCGTATTTGAGTTAAAATCATTGGATAAATTAAAACATCCCTACCAAAAGATACCACAACTTATACAAATAAAACTAAGTAATAATACTTTTTTAAATACAAAATGTAAAGAAATTAGTAACTCTCAGAGCATGCTACAAAATTTTGCCAGAAAAATATATGGGAACATTTTTGTTTAACTAGAAAATATACAGTGCGCTTTTCATTTCTCTTCCTAAAATTCAGTCTCATACAATTTCCATTTAACTTAATAAATATGTACAACAAAAACGTTTATTCTTCGAAGAATATAAATAAAAAATACTGTAGTAGAGCCTGGTCTGGCATTCTTTTCTCATCTAGTCACTATAGTGGGGCTTTTCAACTCTGAATGTGCAAAAATGCAGAATCAGGCTCTTAGTGTTATCAACAGGTTAATAGCTTTTACAAAAGTGATTTTATTTAAAAAAAAAACCCTCCAAAACCACTGCAAAAGACTTAGAGCTATTCCAGTCAGACATTTCTATAAATAGTAAGACATCATGTAGGGAAACAACGTTCCAGTTTAATTACTGCTGGCAGTAATTAGGGAAAAATAGTCAGTGGAGAATGAAAAATACCTTGAATTAGACACATCTTACTTTCACTGATTTAACTTGGTTCCCTATCATTTCTAAAAAGAGTTTCTGGTATAATCTGTACATTGTAAATCTGTGAAGAAACTTAATCACCTTCTTCAGACTTTGAATGGTCCGTTTTGGAAAGTGGTATGTTTTCAAGTGCTTCAGTCCATACATTAAACCTTTAATGGTGTCCTGGTCACCATTCTTTATCCTCCACAGATTGAGAAGCTTCAGAACTTGCTCTGTAGGTTGGCATAGTTTCATTGTGCGCTCAATATCTTCTTTTCCCACTTTCTTGCCTGGTAAGCTTGCCATCAGTGTGTTGAGATGTTCAAAGGTGAGGTTCGGGTGGCCAATATGCTTTAAGACACTATTTTCACAAAGATCAATATCTATAGAAAGCAAAAAGAAAAGAGAGGTAAATACAATGCATTACTTTATCATGGCATGCAAAAAAAAATTCCAAAATTTCAAGGTGAATATTCCTTCCCAATTTTTTTATGTTACTTTATTTCAAATAATTCAGCAATGCTTTTTATTCAGGTTCCAATTATGAAAAGCATTTAAGAATTTAATTAACTTTGCAAATAGAAACAGCCCCAAATTACAAACTTCATCACAAGTATTTATTGCTATACGCTTGCTTCATTTATATTGTAAAATGTTTTGTGTAAGTGATAGGAGTCCTAATATTTGGTTCCAGGGAATGGAAATTTTGCTCTTCTTCAGAAATGTCTAGGCAAGCTTTGCTAAAATAGTTGTTTTGGATTTTGAAGTATTCTAGACACTTCAGAGTCTGACATAAGCACACATACTAAAAAGGAGAGGGAAGAAAAAACATTTCTTTAGCATTTTTCAGATCTATTCTTAGTGGACAAAAGTTCGTTCAAATATGATAGTTATTGATGGTGGCTTACATGAAAAGAGGTGGCCTGACTCTCATAAAAACCCTGGTGTTAACCTTGCAGGACTATTTCACCTTTGACACCTGCCTTGGCAGATTCAGCACAAACCAAGGGGTGAATTGGCATGACAAATAGGTATGGGAAGGGAAAATGAAGGGAAAGCCTGTGTATTCCTCACTCCTGTGCGTCCTCATTCCGGGAATAGATGTCCTAGTCCAAGCTGTCAACCTCCACTTTATAGAAAACAAATTGCACTCTCAGTTGCAGGCATCCAGCTCCCTCTAACCTCAACAGCCACTGATCAGATGTAACAGTGGGAAACATTTTTGCCACTTGATCACAATTCTTTATACAATGTGCAGTCTCAAAAGGGGATCTTGGCTGTGACACCACACACACTCCCAAAGGGGCTACAGTTCTGGGAAGAATTCAGTCCTCAACTGATCAGGAGAAGCTGAACTCTCTTCCTGCTTCCCTTCAATTTCACTGTGCTTACTGCATCGATAAATCTCAGTCAAGCCCTGCTCTTCCTCAGAGCATAACACATCACCAGGAGGTATTTGATCCCAAACAATTTTTAAAATGAAGGTTAGAAGGTTGCTTTTAATATACATGCTATCAAAATAAGGTACCTTGAATAATCTTCTTGACCATATCCTGTTCTTTGTTTTGCTGCTTCCATAATTTCAAAAGCTGGAAGGTCTGCTCTTGAGAACTGTGCCTTTGTTTAATCCTTTCGATATTTTCTGTGCTAACCTTTGTCCCAGGCAAACTGTCTGCTAGTATGTTCAGCCAGTTAGGTGTGAGCTGAGTAGGAACAGCAAACCTGAACAAAGCCTCCTCACAGAGGGTTACATCTGAAATGAGAAAGAGAAGAAGAAGATGTCAATTGCTCTGATCTCTTACCCTGCTTGTCTGAGAAAAAAAAAAAAAAAAGCAAGGATGATAAGAAAAAAATGTTTAAAAAGCAAACTAAGAAGTGGTCTTTATAGTGCTTGTAGGTCTAACCTACAAATTACTGTGGCCATCACCACAGTGCCATCACCATATCAGGCAAATGGCTAACAAGCTAGATACTTTTATCATAAATGCTGATACATTAATTTAAACTATAATTAAACGTATATTTTCAGAGCACTCTTCCTTAATGTGATACATACCTATTCCACATTTTTGAGGTGTTGTATCTGTATTTTCCTGACAGACATTGTCACGAACTGCATTTCCCTTCAATGCTATTTTGAAACCCAGTGCGCTACAGTTTGTGTGCTTCAGACAGGCTGCTTTGGATGATGTTTCATTTGAGAAAAATCCTTCTGGACATTTCTTACATACAGCATCACTCTCAGGGGTACCTGTGGAAACAGGAAGACAACGCATCCAATTACATATAACCTCAACTGTGAAAAAAGATACAAGAATACAAAAATAAAATATTCCTTTCCAAATTGTCATGCTTCCTCTTTTCACATTTCTGATCTATGAAGAAATCAATTTAGAAAAAAAACCAAAAAAACAACAAAAAAACCCAAATACCAAAACCACTTATTCACTTATTTTTAAAACCAAAAAAGATTCTTTAAGAGAATCATGTTCCTGCTGGAGTAACAGAGTAAATAATGCTCTTACATACACTTGTTTCAAAATCAATAATTACTGATTAAATCAGTAATTTAGTAATGTCTTTAAATCGGTAATTACTTGAGTCTACTATTCAGATATTACATGATGCTTGACCTTCATCTTTCAACTGTACAAATATTCTGTAAAATAATTAAATGGCACAAGAAACTGCTCTAAACTGTAGTATTTGCCCAGAACCTTACTCAAATGGGTTACTTCGGTTCTAGCTAAAAATATAACCCAACTAAATATCAAGCAAAGACCCTCTGAAATACTTTCCCTGCTCAAATATTAACTTATACAGGAAAAACAAGTTTCAATAACATTTTAAAACTTTTTTTTCAGCTTGAATATTATTAAAAGCAAACGAAGTAGATTGTCCAATATAGCAAAAATATTTAATACACATACATATGTTTTGCTTGGTGTTTTATAAAGCATAGTTTTATTTCAGAATCATATGATACAACAACAAAATGACAGTATATAGTTCTATCACATTGAAAAAAAGGAATAAAATTAATGCATGAAATCTGAAACAATGCAGTCTAACCACCAGTGGCAGGAAAATAACAGCACCAACAACTGACTCTTAATTCATCTTCTGTCAGCCAACATTTAAGCAAGTGCTTGGAGTCTAATATTGAATATTGCATTACTGAACATGAATTTAAGCACATGCTTAAATTTTTTTTTAAATAACTGGAAACTATATTTGATTAAGAAAATGCCTCCATCTAGTGTATTGTGAAAGTATTTACATGTGGATGTTTATTTTAATGCTAGCTTTTAAGTAAAATTTACTTTGGGCATCTCCTCAAAGAGAGTATGAATCTCAAGTTTTCAACCACCTGCGAAATAAAGAATAATACTTGCACACACCTGAACTTGCACTTCTTTCATCAGAGAAGTGAAAAGAAACAGAGTTTTCAGCTGTTGTGCATCTGAAAAAAGCAGAGACCCTGTATACTGCCAAGCCCACCAAAATCCTCTGCTTTCTCAGCCAGTACCCAACCTGCAGGAACAGCATCTGCCCTTGTATTTTCCTGCACAATGTGCATTGCCTGTGTCTCTGTGCTGTACAAAACTCCAACCAACACCCAGACCTGAGCAGGCAGCAATTAGCTTTTCTGAGATATCTGAATTTTTAGCAGCTTTTCCTGCTACAGACACACTGCTGTTGTGTTCTGGCAGCAAGGAAGGGGAAGAAAGGAGAGTCCCTGCAAACGATGCGTCGTTGTGCTCAGAGCTTCCTGTATAACCTTTGTGGCACAAGAGGGAAATAAACTGGGTAATCCATCTATGTTCTCAGGGTTGCGCATAAAGTCACCTCCCAGCTTTACCAGCTTCTTCTTCGTTGCTTATCTGGCCGCTCTTGTTCAGGGCACGAACTGCCGCAGCCTGGCCATCTTTTCTGCCACTCCCTCCAATTTGTCTGGAATCCCCCATTCTCCCCAGAGAAACAGCAGCCGCTGCCGGGGTGACAGTGGTGCTTTCTAGCAGCGCTGCTTCCCCAGCGCGTTGCTGCTCAAACTCTGCCACGTACAGGGCCGACCGCGACAGAAAGTAACAAAACCTTAATGTGCCCTCACAAAAGGGGAATACTGAAGGAAAGTGATCTGCCCCACATAATCATGAGCGGCTGGTAGTGGGGAAACAGATTTCTAACGCTTTAAGCTTTGAATGAGACACTGGACCACACCATCTCCCTGTGTGGCAGCTGAAGCATGTTTTTCTACACTTAGGTTTTATTTCACCTGAATTTGCATAGTTACAAAGTTCAAGGCTATCATATGGCAGAAAGCAGGAACACAGTGTGGTCCATGCTTATTAAATTCTTAGTCAATGCCTCACCTCAAAAACTGACTATTGACACAGGGGGACGCAATTATTTTTACAATGTTTTCATTCCTTGTTTGAGGTCTGCTTGGGTTTAGCTGGTTCATTCTGATGGTCTTTTGGAAACCAACTTTCCAATAAATTACACAATTCAACAATTTATCCTCTTCCAAAGTTTATTTCGTTTTGAACTGAGGGATTCAAATTTGTCACGGTTTCACTGTGCTCGCAGGGATGCAGCAGGCTAGTTACTCAGACAATTTATGTTTCTTTGTTCATCTCCCAAATGGTCTTTTTGAGAACTTTGTTTCTGGTCCCTTTTGACTTGCTGCTGAGGTACGTGGAACCTCATTAAACCCAAGCCCCTGGGTATAATGATTTAGGTTAATGAAAGTTTATAATATGGAAATGCAGTAGCTGCCAGTGGAAATGCGGAAAAGTGGCAAGAGCATCCGGTTAATGCTTAGTTAACCAATTACTCAAGGACTAGTGAGCAGCTACGGCAGCAACATTACTCTTTACGTCAAAGTTGTTCTCCAAAGAGATGTTTATAACCCAAGACAGGACTCCCAACCTGTCATTCAGCATAGCTGTAAAATGTACAGGCAAGCCCTAGTGTTTATCACTGTGTATACGTTAATTCCTAAGGAAGTATTTCTGTAGTCTGGAGATTGGTTGCCTACAGGTTCATGTCTGAGATGCTTTGATTTTCTGCATTCCCTTCCTCACTGCTCTTCTCTGGCCAGTTATCAATCTCCAGTACAATGACAATTTACAATTCTTTCAGTCTGTATTAAACACTGGAGCTAAACTGGGCCACAATATTTGCCAAATGATAAATGATGTATTTTCTTTTGAGAGAAGAAGTTATTACTGGTTTAACAATTTATGTTGTCTTAAATGAAGAATACACTCCACTGAAAAGTGTCACTTTGCTCTGTATCCCCACCAGACATACAGCACAATGCAGCCTCCTTGACAAAGAAATGGTTGTTTGTTTGATAATAGCAAGTTTCCCTAAGAGTTCCACTTAGGATGCTGATAATTAATTATTATCACATATTGCTGTGATGTGAGAGCTATATTAATATTGTTATAATTATACACTTGGTGTCAAATATGTAGTGCTCCTGGTGTTTGTCAAGATATACAGTTGCTTGAAACAGCAGATTTCAAAATGAAAAACATTATTATTTATCACACACACAAATACTACATTCCAGATAATGTTCCGTTAAAAGAGGCAATCCATCATGTTTCTCATTAGAGTGCAATTTGCTACATTTGCTACTGCCATTAAGATATATATTACAGTAGAAGCAGGGTATTCCACTGAGAAATGTTCCTTTTTGGCTTCAGTCCAAATGATGCAGACTAGGAACAGGTTCAATTGGCTTTACAATTTACTGTCCTGTAATTTCATCTGGACAAGCCTCTTTCCTAATCTTGTAACTGCCATGAGTTGTCGACGTGCAGCAGAGCTCTAATTAAGCCTGTGTGTATTGACAAGCGGTACATACCTGGCTGTGCAACGCCGAATCCAGGAGGACACTCTGTGTGCTTTAAACAAAACTCGAGCTCCAGGTACCTGCCTTCAACGCACTCGCAGACGCGGTTCTGCGTGCTGGTGCACTCCTGCTTGACGTACTGCAGCTCTTTGCAAACAGCACTGCAGTACTGGCATTCGTCGTTGCTGTTCCACTCTTCGGCGTAGTACTGATCTGGACACGGGGCACACTGCGTCGGGCTGGTGGCTGTACAGTGTTGCTTTACATAGCTCCCAGGAGGGCACTGGTCACACAGCAGCTGACGAGATGTCCCTGGGTCATAATGGGGGTACTTGGGGGGAGAGTCATACTGGATGGTCCACTTAACAGAAATGTCCAAAAGCTGGCAACAGGAAAATAAAACATCGCTCACTTTAGTCCTGGGGAGCACCGAGGTCATGAAGAAACCTACATTTTAATGAGTTTATGATCTAATCATGTCACTATCTTAAAAAAATATTTGTGTCAGAAATTTAAAAAATAGTAGCTTCTAGACTCTCCCATGTCCATCTTAGAATGCGAATTTAGGCTCTTATGCAGCAAATCTTCCCAATGTAAGTACTTCCTTGTTCTTCCAGAGATGTAGATCCTATTCTTCCCCCATTTACACCCTTTTACTATCACTGAGCAATGACCTTTTACTGCCTGAGATCAGAGAACCTGGCCTATTAGTTTCATTGGCAATACATTCAATGCACAGCAAGGTGGGGATTATGCACTCCTTTTTTCTCAAGTACAAAGTACTTCAGATGCAAAAGAAATGGTATCTGAGCATACAAATCTGACCAGCATACTGCACCATTACTACAGATACCAATAAAAATGATTCCTTACAATATTTCCTTGTATCAGCAACGAATGGCTAGAACAATACAGGTTACTTTTGAATGCCTTCCATTTAATCTTGTACTGAAATGCAGCATTCTGGGGATAAAACGTGGCAGCTACGTCAAGTATGAAGATGCAGCTTCAGACAGAGGTGAAGAATGCTGAAGTTTATGAAGGGTACATTAAGGACTTAATTGCACGAGCTGGAAGAGGCCAGGCTAATGCTTTCACTTCCTATGTAAAACCACAAGCTTATGGCTGTCATGAGGACCTGGTTCAGTACAGGCACACATCATGACCGCTACAGTCCACCTGCTTCCTGCAACAGTCTGCTTTGCTGGTGTGATTTGGGATCTAGCAATCCGAGACAACCCTGCCCTTCTGCAGAGACAACCTCCATACCATGTCATTTTGGTCTTGTAACTGAAAATTTGGTTCTGTGATTCCACCTGCCTATCAGAAAAAACCCCTCTCAGGTTTACCCCCTGTGTACCACCTCAAGCTGCACAGGGTCCCCACTGAGAACCCAGCTCTGTCCCAGTGCTCAGTGATCGACATGCCACTTCTCTTCTAAAACTTGTACATTTTATAAAGATGAAGTAAACTGGCTCTGAATGAAGATTTTTTTCTATGTATCCATTCAAATTATAGATCAAACTGACTTGTCTTTGTTGCTTTTTTAATCCCAGTCAGCTAACACAGAGTTGACAATTCCATTTCAGGAACGTATTTTCCTCTTTTCCAGTGCAGATGTCCCCAAAGTGTAAGTGGAATTAACTCTTTTTATTTATTCAGACTCTGTATTTCCTAAATATAGGAAATTTCATTTAAGGGCCTCACTTCTGCCACAGCATGGCACTTCTTAAGTGATAGTCTTATTAAGGTTGGAAAGGCCTATTTAATTGTTCATCTGCGTTAACACAAGTCACAGCGCTTGCACCAAGTAATATTAGGTATCTAAATTAGGAACTCTTACTGCTAAGTGCATTCTCCTGTTGTCAGTCTACAAATCCACTTTGTATATAGCTATGCTTAGACAGGCTGAATAATAAAATGCAGATAGTATGGATATTCCCACAGCCTATTCTAGTTACCCTCAACTAAGCCCTGTAACTTGTCCAATCTGTGATTCTACAGATGGAGATCCCACTTTTTCTTACGGTCTCAATGCACAATCTCTTCCATTGTGAGCAACTCCTTATTAGTCATTGAAGTTTGATGTACTGCTCCATTTTTCTTAAATGACTGGATCTGCTTCATGAAATCTATTTAACAAGAGGGTGCAGCACATTTTTTAATAGTGAATGGATTTCCATTGATGAAAAATGTACCCACCCTTGGTAAATCTACAGCTATTACTCTAGTAATAAGGAAGTCTTGGTAATCCCATTAATTGTTGATGTGAACAGTCAGGTTTTCTTCTATGTCTGTTATCCAGTAACAGATAATACAGCACCCCAGACCCCAAGACTTGCATGGACACACACATTCCCTTTGCAGAACATAACAGACTGCAACATGTGGCACAGATGTGACAAAGACAAGCATCAACCCACACTTCATGCAGATGTGGGTTCCACTGTCTGTGGAAACCCAAGACAAAACCCACTGCAGATGAAAATCTGACACTGTGAAAATGATTAGGGACAGCAACCAGACATGCAGGCAGCATATCTTCATGCAGAAACACCAGTTTTCCTGCTCTGCAGTGCACAGCTAAGAAGACTCAAGTTGTCACTGCAGCAAAATCTGCTCCTCTGGGGTGTGTCTATGCTCTTGGTGACATGTTTTCAGGTGCAGAATGATTAGGTGGATCATTTCATGACTGTTCAACTCCCCTCTGCAACATTCAGGAGCAAGAACAAAAAGATTTTCTCTGTTTTCTTTACTCAACCATTTACACTGGAAATCATATGTGAGGCAAGTGAGAAGTATTGCTTCAACCCAGGCAATGATGATTGATGACTAAGGGGATCATTCAGGATGATTCAGGATTAAAAATTATTCAAATTCAATAATCAGGGTATGAGGTTTGTAGGGAAAAATGGAGGCAGTTGCTTCCTGAAGAACCTTGTCAACCTATGTGAAGCAAGCCAATAAAACCTGAAAGCAATTCAGCATAATTTGAGAGGAAGCAATTTAAAAAATTGAGAAAAAAACCCCTTGAACAATACATGTGTGAGACCATGCGAAGTTTTGCCTTTGGAATTACCAATAGCTATAAACTATTAATGGAAATCAGAATACTATTAATCTAAACGAGCATAACCAATAAGCATAGTAATAGGATTAATAAATCAGCATCACTAAAAAGATGATCATTCTTTGCATTTGATTTTTTCTTTGTGCTTTTAAACCAAAAGTACATCACACCTGATCTCCCTTCTTTCCCAGAAACACACATGCAGCTGCAGTAATCCATGGATCAGTGGCTGAGCCATGCATATGCAGGAGCCAACTGTTTTATTTAGTAAACAATTGTGACAAAAGATTCTTCAGACAAACTAAAGCTATAAATGCAATCAATATCTCAATATTTTATACATTATTTCCAACATAGAGCTAGATTACCATTACTATTACTGTTTGACTACTATGATCCTATTATACAGTGAGCATTGCCACATTGCAAAGTTGAATTCAAAATGTTACTTGACATAGAAATGGAGGAAAATAATAAAGGGCCATTAGGCATAAACATCACCTTTTGATCAGGAAATCCCAAACCACAAATTGCTTTAGTCTGGAGGAGTGTTTTGGAAAAATATCACTATTTTTCTACCTTTTTCTTCCATCTCCTCTATGCACTAATTATGAACCCCTGCCACAGACAGCATATGGGGCTTTTAAGGGCATTTCTTCTGGATTATTTTTTTCTTAGACACAGTACAGCCATTACTATGCTGTTAAGTATATTTCTAGACTCCAATCCCCAATACCACACTTCTTTGTAAGACTACTGTAGGTCCCTTAATAATACTTAAGAGAATAAATTTGCAAGATTGTCTTCTATGTAGACTGAAAACATCTAGCACATGTGAGTATTCTGAGTATTAATATGCAACTTGAAAATCAGAAGTTATCCTTGAACTGACGTCAGTCAAGGGCCAAAATAAAAGCAATCTATTTTTCAGAAGTTTTGTAAAAATGCAGGAAGAATGATGGAAGGTAATTAAGTGTATTTTTTACTAGTTTTACCACAGCAACTTGGCACAAATGGAATGAAAAGACCCTTCTTGTCCCCCAGCTGACAGAATAAGCTGGAGGGAAACATCACTAAACTGTCCTTTCTCCTGGCCTAAAACACACTGAATTTGTCCTCACATTAGCAAGTTGGATCACCTGTTACAGCAGATATGTAGAGCAAAACAGATGGTGGTGAGCACCTGATATCCACATTATGCATGATTCAGAGAGTATTTTGGACTAACTTCAGTCTGCTCTCATGGACTGAGCATGCATTAGTGGTTACAGTGCATCTGGTGTGTCTCTGGAGTCCATCTCTGTATTTACTTTCATCAATCCAGTTTACGTTTGTAAATCCACTTTGTGCACTCCAAGTCTGCTCTGATGTGCAAACTATAACACAGTAAATAAGGATGATCAGGAGAGGCCCTTCAAAACCATGTTCCAAAAAAAAATTAAAATGGTAATTAAATGCAGTCATTCCTGACATTTCTCCACCAACTTGGTAGCTGATTCTCAGCCACATAAAACTTCCGACTGACCTGAATGCCCATACCTAAAGGTGGGTTATTATGAAACACCTGAATCTCTGCTGTAAGAGATAACAATATCTGAGCACATGAAAATGCCATGATCAGAACTTACTAGTTCTGAACACTGGTCTTCCCAAAAGCTTCACAGAAAGCAGGATTTCTCCTATAATCACCATGCTGGCACTGGCCGGTTCTGCTCTTGCTGGAGAAGGCGGCATGTTCTAGTTTGAAAGGAGGAAGAAACTAGGAGTCTGGCTTCGAATTACTGGAATCAGAACTAGGGGCAATAGTATGTTCACCCTTTAACCCTTAAGAAACCAAAGTTGGAGTCTATCAGTGCTACACTTGGCCAAAGTCATGGATTTGTCATAATGGAGATTGCATAAAACTCTGTTCATCCTTGTTTAGGAAAGGTTAATTCAGCCCAGAAGAGGTACAGAGAAAGTTTAGAAGGAAATGGAAAGCTTCATCTTGAAGAGGATCTTAACTTGTTCAATAGCTTGGCAAATCAAAACAGTGCCTATAGATTTAATAGAGATAGACAGTGAACACAGAGAGAGAACTTTCTCCATTAAAGGATAATGCTGGCAAATGTAAAGGGGATTCTCTCATCAGAGGAAGTTTGGGAACAGCCTTTTACTGAGAAGCAGGTGCAAGAAGCCCCAGTAGTTTAAATATAGCCTTCATGCATTTCTGAAAGCAAAGACGTCATTTGGTTTCCTGGAAGAGCTGGGGAACGGACTGAAAAGATCTAGGCAGTTTCTTTCAGTTTTAAACCCTAAGCAAATCGTTTATATCCCAACACCAATGGAAGCCAATGATAATCAGTATCATGCTCATCTCAACAAATTAACTCCTAGTGTGATTC